ATGAGGCCAAAGGGCAAAGGCCCTGCCATTTTATTTCAGGCACAGCAATGAGCACAACAAAAACAAGGCCAACTGAAGGCCGGAGGCAGCGAAATGTGGGCTCAGAGGCCGTTAGCAGGCAGGCGCTTCCTCCCTCAGCAGTGTTTCTCTGATGCTTCCCTTTCCATCTGTCCCTACCACGAATACACTTGTTCACACTCGGCTTGTTTCCTGCCTGGATCCTGGCCACCTTCTACTGCTTGACTTTCTCTCTCTTGCCTCATGACCCCACTTCAGGGCCAGATGGTTCAGGACACCACTTCTTATTGCAACTTGGAGCGGCCTTTCGGGTTCCATCCCACCTGCCTTTTCTGTTTAGAGGACTAAAGACCTTTCATTTTGTCTGCTTTTCTTCCTCAGATTGCCTGCTAAAAGCAAAAGAGCACAGAGTGACTTCTTTACCTCCTGTTTTGTTTTTCCTTTCGGTCGTGTTTAATACAACTCAATTCCTCTGTCTCCAGAAACAAAAGACAACATAGACCCAAACCCCTGGCACTGCAAGATGATTTTGAAGTGCTGGCAAAACGTTCTAGGAGACGAACATGAAAAGGAACTCTGGTCTTGCAAACATTTGCTGGTGAGCCCCGTCCTGCAGTAACGCACCCCTAGTGCTGAGTATTCTGATCTTTTGGTCAAAAACTAGGCAGGAGTTTTGCTCCCAGCTTTTCTCCTCCTCAACCTGGACGGAAATTCCTTTCTTTCTGACCATCTGGTCTCCTCATTTAACTTGGCCAAGCCCAGCTTGACAACTCTCCCCCACTGTGATGGCACAAAGGGAAGCAAAGGAGACCTGAAATCAGCCTGATACAGTCTCAGACTTCAATTCCATGCTACTTATGTGAAATAAACCATCAAAGTGATATATGAGGGAACAATGTGCAGCAAAGCCATGTTCATTCAAAACTAAAGGCAGGGAAGAAATGGATTTAGAATAAATAGTTCTGATGCTTTGGGATGAAATGACTGGAAATTCTATCCCACTGAGCCTTACTTCAAAATAGTAATTGCCAACAGCACTGGCGTTAATCTTCAGTCAACAGAGCATTTTTACAAATGGGAGGACATCAAAGAGGAGCATAATACTAATTTATATTGGCCTCTTTCTATTTTCCAAGCCCTTTCAGACTGGATACCTCAATTCATCCTCTCCTAAATTTTGGAAGATAGATCAAGCAGGATTTATTCAACCAATCATTCATCTATTCAACTCGTGTTTATTGGATGCCTGGCACTATTTTAGGTCTGGAAGACACAAAGCATTGATTTAAACAGATGAAGTTCCTAATCTCATGGAGCTTCTGCTACAATAGGAGAAAAAGACAATAAGCAAATGTGAACAAATACAGACTCTCTCAGATGGGAGAGGTGGGATTAAAGCAGAAGATGAAAAGGCAAGGTAAGGCGAACAGAGAGTCGTTGGGGAGGGGTATCCTGTTTCCTACAGGGTGGTCTCCGATGGAGGAGTCTTTGAGCAAGACCTAAGGAACTGAGGGCCGAGATGAGCACACGCCTTGGGGAAGAGGCTTCCAAGGGCTCAGAGGAAATATTTAGGCAGGAATGTGCTTGGCTTGTTAGAAAACCAGAAAGGAGGCCAGTGTGGCTGGAGCAAAGTGAGCAAGGCAGAGCTGGTAAGAAATGAGGTCAGAGAGATAAGAGCGACAAGGCATGTAAGGCCCTGCTGGACACTGCAAAAGCTTGGGCTTACAGCCTGAGTGAGTGGGAAGTCTTTCCGCAATTTTAAGCAGAGTAGCATGATCTGACTTATATTTCAAAAGGGTTACTCTGTCTAAGACTGAGCACTGCCCCCAGGATCTACTCCCTCTTTCTTGCATAATAGTGGAAAACACACATTTCTAGCAGGCCACATGGCATCCCAGAATAAAGAGTATACTTCTTAGCTTGCCCTGCAGATAGGTAGAGCCACATGACTAAGCCTGTGGGTGATATGCAAAAGGGTGGTACAGTGCTTCAAAAAATCGTGGTGGGGGCTGGGTAAAGCTTAGTGGTAGAGTGTGTGCTTAGCATGCATGAGGTCCTGGGTTCAATCCTCAGTACCTTCATTAAAATTTTTTTTAATTGAAATTTAAAATCATGCCTTTGACCCTTTTCTTTTTTCCTCTGTCCTTCATTCTCTGCCTAGAATGCAGATGTGACAGTTGGAGCTCTAGATGCTACACTGGACTGTGAGGCCAAGGGCCAACCTCTGGATGGCACAGTGGTGAGCTGAAGAAGCTTAAGTTCCCAAGGACTTCACAGAACAGATTCATACCTGCCTATACAGATAATCTCCAGACATTTATTTAGTGTCTCTGTTTCTAGCAGTTGAGCCTAGTCCTAAACGGTATAATCGTTCCAGCCACTGTGTGGATAATAAACTATAAAAGGAACAAGGGCAAATACAAGGATAATCTCTTTTCATGAGTGAAAACCCAGAGACTTGAAGAAGTTAAGTGAAGGAGATAAGGACTGTGGTTAAAAGCCCTGGCTTTCAAAGTCAACAAACCCACCTGTATTTCAATCGTGCCTCCAAAACTTTCTAGCTTGGTAACCCTGGGCACATTCCTCAGCCCCTTTAAGCCTTGATTTCCTCATCTGTAGTAGGGGGATGATAATGATACCTACCTCCCACTATTACAGTGAGGATTACATGAAATAAGTTATGTGAAAAGATTTAACAGGGCCGGGCACGGAGTTGGACTCCCCAGCTGCGGGTGCTCTGTCTCCCCTCTTCTTCTCTCTACCTTGCCACACCTCCCGTGCATGCCCAGGAAATCGATCCTTCCAAGATTAGTGCACATCACACACAATTAAGGACAAGTGCTCTTGTTAGTAAGGGAGGAAGAGAAGGAGAGAGAGAGGAGAAAAAGAAGCCTCAGCACAGGGATGTGATGGACTTTCAGGTTGTCAGAAGCTCTGGATTCATAGGAGGAAACGTCAGCACCGGAGGCGCTGAGAGATCTAAGGGAAGGCAGCCAGCAGTTCAGCCCTCAGCCTGGGGCCTGGGGATGCTCGCAGGGCTCCGAACTGTTCACGACCTGACCCCCTTCTCTTCTGTCCCCTTCTCTCTCTTGTTTGCCTCTTCTCCTTCCTCTTCCAAAATCCAAATAGGAATAGTGGAAAGCTTGCTATATCATCTGATTCTCCGGCTGTTTTTCCTCAGAGTGACTGAATTTTTCACTGGCCCAGCAGGATGTTTGGAGACCGTGTGGAGAGCAATCTCTGTGTGTTTTTTCATCTGCGTACTAGGCTTTGGAATGCAAAGAAGCAATTATATCTTTCCTTTCTGGTAGCAGATTCTCTTCCTAATTATGTTTTGCTCAGGCTAATATGAAAATGAATTGGCTTCCTGTGACAACAATACGTGTAATAATAACAGGAAATGGCCCAGAATCACAAAATAATAAAAATAGAGCTGGAGGGGAAGCAACACAACTCTTGAGAACATTTTGCTGCTATGCTTTTCCATCCCTTCCCAACCCATTTTATCTGTCTATCCAACTACTCACAGATTCAGAAAACTATTAATTGATTCAGAGAACTGTTTATAACCAGTGGAACTAACACAGGGCCTAAAAAATTCAACTTTTCTCCTTATATTAGAAATTTCTGAAACACCAACTACCAAAAATTAGAAAAAGACAGGCGTGTCAGTTTCTGTATAAAGACTTAGCCTGTATTATGCCTAATACAACTGTTTGTAAAACAGACTGAGTGGTAATAGTATGCTTCCATTAATCATAGTCTACACTGAAGGCTCTGATAAGTCCTGTAGAAAAGCAACCTGGCTGCATTTGTCTAACCTAGTAAGGCACCAATTTATCTAACCATGGAAACTTCTTTTCCTTCTTTCATTGACTACCCATGAATTTTTGAATTAGCATTACGGAATATAAATTTTTCAGGGTTTTGGTTCTCAAGGGAATGCTCTACTTGTGTTCTGAATGCAGCCTCCTATGCATTTAGCCTTTAATTCAGTTAACTGATTATTTAGGTCTCCAAGAAGAGGCTAGTCTCTTAACAACAGTAGCTTCTGTTCATCAATATACTTAATTCAACCAGAAATTTAGCAGGTAAAATGTCTTTGCCTTTGCAAGCTGATAACCATCATCTTGACCTTACCTGATCAGGTATTCATTCAGAAGGAGGGAAAGGGGATATCTAAGCTCCAAAGCACTTTCTTTCCTTCTCTCCCTGCACAGGGAGTTCTTGGTCTCAACTCTACCATAGGATGGAAACTCAGGCCAGTTCACTTCACACACAGAGAGAGGTGAGAACCAATGGCGATCTCTTCACTTACCTCCATCTGGGGAATGGAGGTTCCATTGTAAATCCAAGGACTCACTGAGTGAATGGGTGGGTGATGAGTCTATCCCGTGTGTGTATTAAATGAGGTGACAGAAGACAAGACCTAGGTCAGAGTTCAGGGAAAGCCAGTCTGAGCATGCTCACTTGGCCCAGGCTGATCCAGTAGACTTGGTATACACCAAGCCACAATTACTAAGCACGTTTCATCAATGACAATTCCCAAAAGGGGTCACGCACAGTACCAAAGCCCAGCTAAGCCCAAGAGGGGTCAGCCCGTGGACACAACGGCTTTTTATTAGGTGAGACAGCTGTTCCGATCTCTGTTGCCAATTAGGTCATCATTAGACTCAGGCAACACTTACTGATAGCGGAGATGCCATTGAGAGGAGACATTAACACCTTTACCGCTGACCGTAAATCAGGGGCCACTCCGGCTGTCTGAGGGCATCTGCAGAAACACCTCCCTCTGGCTTTTCCAGCTAGGGGTTCCCTCTGTCCCTCTACTCCCGGAATAATGCACAGCTGGAGGGGCTGTCTAAATCCCCACATGCTGCGGGAGCAGTGAGAGCTTCCTGGGCAAAGGTGATGAGCTCCGTGGAAAGTATTACACCAAAACGTCCATGCTTTTTGCTTTCTAAAATAATACACACATAGAGTAGAAAATCTAGGGAATTACAGACAGTCAAAGGGAAGGGAATAGAGATCACTCAGAATGTCATACTCTTAATGTAGCTCTTTCTAGCCTTTTTCTCTGCACTTTCTTTTTATTTCTACAGAGTTGAAAATTATGCTGTTCCTATTTTTAAAAAAAGTATAAAAGCATCTGTTTCATTCCAGTCTGGCCACACTGTCCCCCTTGAGATTCTCCAAACACTGCAGGTACGTTTGTACCTCATGGCCTTTAAACTTGCTCTTCTCTCTTCATGGAATGTTCTTCCTCCACCTACTCTGATGACAAGCTCCCTCACCTTCAGTTCACTGCTCAAATGTCACCTCCTCCAAGAAGACTTCCTGACCACACAAGCTGAAATTATTGCTCCCTGCTGCCGTTCTTCTGTTCCCTTACTCTGCTTTATTCCCCATTCATGCGCTACAATACGTGGTATCGTATTACAGAGTTGTCTGTTCATGATGGGTTCTCCTCACTGCAATTTAAGCTCCAAGAAGACATATGTTCTGTTTCAGTCACTACTCAATTCCCACAACCTGGAACAATGCCTGGCCCATAATAGGTGCACAATACATATTTGTTAGATGAGTGAATAAATATTTCTTGGTAATTTGCATTTTTTCCCTTTAACAATACTGTACAGAGCCTTCCGGGTCACTAAGGCTCCCTCGGCATACCAAATTTTAAGACTACATCACATTCCACACTATGGCTCTATTATAATGGGTTTAGCCAACTCCCCATGGGTGAACATTTAGGTTAAGTGGTCTCCTCCCCATACCGCCCCCCACCCCAATCATTTTTAAACATATGCAGGGCACTGGAAATATTTAAATGATTTATCTATGCTGGGAAAATTTGACCTGGAAAACTCATTTGGAGGCTTGAACTGGAGAAACAGTCATTAGTAAGCCCTTGACCAAATAAGGAATTTAAATTCCTCTGATAGAAAAGGTGGCCGTGAGGACACCTGCCTTCCCAGCCAGATGGGTCACATCAGCCTTGGAGGTTGGTGACGTGATGGTCACCTCATGTGTGGCTATACACAAGTACTTAGGGCTCGCAGAAAAGAACAAAGTACATGGAATATGGAGACGTCATGGGCTGAACTGTGTCCCCTCTCCCCCAAAAATTCGTATGTTGAAGCCCTAACCTTCAGCCTTGGAATGTGATGATATTTGAAGACAGGGCTTTTAAAGAGGTAATTTCAGAGATTACTGGGTGGGCCCTAATCCAAGCTGATGAGTGTCCTTAGAAGAAGAGGAAATTTGGACACGAAAAGAAACACCAGGGATGTGCAAGGAGGGAAGACCGTGTGAGGATGCAGTGAAAAGGTGCTCAAACCTGCCAACAGCTTGACCTTGAACTTCCAGCCTCTAAGCTGTGAGAAAATGAAATAAATTTCTATCAGTTAAGTCACCCATTCTGCAGTATTTTGTTATGGCAACCCTAGAAATTAACACAACAGATGAGTGCAATGATGTTACAGTGCCCTTGCAAAGGCATTTGGGGCTTTCTAAGTATACTTTTTATTGTGTAGCAAAGGTCAAAATTTTCTGTGTAAACAGAAGTCATTAGATGCTTATGAATCAACAGTTAACAACTCCTTTACATGCAATTTTTCCTTGAGAGCGTCATCTTAAAAAAATTAAACAGCAAAAATTAATGGATAGGTCCCAGAGAAGTTGGCGTGAATTTCAAAAGACTGGTCATTTCTGTGCTCTTCAAGGGAATATTTCATTTCCCTTATTCTGTATCCACCTATTTAGCCCTCAATTAATTAATTTGATACTTAGCAAGTACTTGGTATGGGCCAGTTCCTGGGGATATGACAGTGAGTGAGACAGACACCTCCCTACAATCATGGAATCTATTGGGGGGAAGAGTTACGGTAACAAGCAAGTACAGCAGGACACCCCCCTACTGACAGAGGAAGGCTTCGTCTCCTAAGTCAGAGGTAGGCAGACTTCTTCTGCAATGGGTCAGAAAGTAAATGGCTTTAGCTTTGAGGGTCACGTGGTCTCTATCTCAACTACTCAACCTGCAGAATGAAAGCAGCCATGGACGATATGTAAACAGTGAGCAGAGCTGTGTTCCAATAAAATTTTATTTATAAAAAGAGGATGCAGACCAGATTTGACCCAGGGGCCCTAGTTTTCCCACTCCTGCCCTACATTCTACACTGGATGACAGCTTGAGCACTTTTTCAGGTCAACATAGAACATCTATGCATAAATGTGAGGGGTGTCCAGTAAAGTGTGGCTAGATCTTTGAGCTTTGCAGTGTATGCAGGAGAACAAATGATTCTGTATGATCTATCTTGGATCCCTAAATACACAGAACATGAGATCACATATCTCAGATGGCTCTGCTCAGAATACAAGGTCTTATGACCTGGTTCCTCCCTTCCCCCATCTCTTTAGAAAATGGGGCACCACTCTTTCATACAATTCAAGCCAGCCATGCCTGGCAGCTGGACCTAACATTTGTGGATGTGCCCTCCATTAGAGCTTATTCATGCTTCCTATCCAAGTTTCCAGAGCCTTCACTCTCAAAACAGTGCTTCTCAGAAACCACGGTTTGTGGCCTAAACTGCATGTACCACACCCTGAGGTAAAATGTCCAGGCCACATGAAAACATGGGTGTGCCCATTTCCAGAAATGTCTATAGAGAGTTGACCCACCTGTGTACAGATGTGGCACAAGGGCTCCCATCTTGTAATTACAGGCTCTCTGAAACCCTGACGTTCTGGTATAAAACAGAACAAAGTTCAGAATCACAGGGAGCTGGGTTATAATCACGAGTGCACTTGTGAACACCATTCCATATAAAAACGATGCCAAACTAGGAGCAAGGACAAGTGTAAAACACAGAGGACGAGTGGCTCTTTGTGACCGAGGATGTCACCCACACAGTCAACAGTTATCCACTGCTGGCTATGAGCCAAGCACTGTTCTCAATGCTGAATGAGAAACAGAAACACTGCCTTCATGGAGATTATAGTCCATATCCAGAAAAGCTTTCCAGTAGAGGAGACATTTGGGTTGGGGGTGGCCTCTATTTTGCACAACTCCAGCTGCTGCCATCCACAGCAGTCTATGTCGATGGCACCCCGTGGAGGGGTGAGGTGGAGTATTACATGGTGACTGTGACTTGAGTCTTGATGGACCAGGATTTTAGTAGGTACAGAAGAGGAAAGAGGGCAGTCCAGGTAGAGGGAAAGGATATGTGTAAGGTATCAAGAATCATTTATTTAGTGCCTACTGCTTTTACACGACCCTAAGGGGATAGAGGTAAATTCTTGTGACCTGCATTATAAAACTGTATTACTCCTTCAGTCATAGCATTAAAAAAATAGTTACTGAGCAATTACCATGATCCCAGCTCTGCTACTAAAACATGGGGATATAGCTATGAATACATCAGAAATGGTGCCCAACCTCACATAATTCACAATCCAAAGACACACTGAATAATTGTAAGAATAAAGAGCATTTCAAAAATAGAGTGCTGGGTCTTAGGAGCCCTTATAACTGGGAGAACAGACATAGTTTGGCTAGTTAAGAGACACTTGTGATGGGAGAAACGTGCCTGTCCTCTTGCTAATCCTGGATATTCAGTCTCAATGGGAATGAGCTTGGGTGGAAGAGGGGGAGGAGTTTCCCTCAGTGCTCGTTCTGTGGACAGAGGACCTTATTTCTCTAAATGACAGTGTGGGCATCAGTGTAAGAATGACTGTATGCTGAGGGAGGTACCAACTGGGTGCATGAGGCTGGGCCCAGCTGGGGGCTAAGGCTGTCCTGGGGAGAGAGGTAAGGTCTATACTGCCTAGGAGCTTATTTCATGGGGAGAAAGACCAGTAAACTGTTAACTACAATACAGTGATCAGGACTGAAAGTTGGTTTGGGGAGCTCCTGGGAAAGACATTCAACCGGGTGTTGACTGGTTCAGGAAAAATTTTCCAGAAGCAATGACTCCCTTCTGACATGTGACAGGTAAGTGGGATTTAATGACAAAGGTGTAGTAAGAGAAAAGTAGGAAAAGGATGACCCCAGCCAGAGACGAGAGAGGGGATGTGACGGAAGAATCAAATCTGAGAAGAGGAGGGCTGAGGCAGGAAGCCGGGGGGGAAGGTTGGGGCTGGTCTGGGGAGAACCTTAAATACCATGGGTGGCAGTTTTCATCCAATCAGGATCATGCGGTTCAACAGGGGAAACAGAGACCATGAACTGGTAACTGATGTCCCACGTCAGAAAACTGTAAATGAACTATCACTTCCTCTTCTCAACACACGCCCAAGAAGGAAAAGCAGCTCTTTCTACAAATAACTACTTTTTGATTTTAATTTTCTATACAGCCTACTGTACACAACAACAAAAACACTACCACCACACCTCATGCTGAGTTTAGAGCCTATTTTCCACCTGAAACCATATTCCAGATTCAGGACTGGGCAGAGTGGCTAGATGTTCCTCAAGCCAAGCCTCAAGAAATTTCATCCAACATTCCCAATTGCAATGAAACCCCAAATCTAAAAAAGGCAATTTGTGCAGTGCCCATTATGGTTTTATTATGGAAGTTCCTGTACAGCTGCGGTAAAGTCCTCCCAGTGCTCATGAAGTGATGAGTCACAGAAAATGAGGGCGTGTCCATTACTCCAAAAGGCTGACCACATGATGTATTTATATGTGATACTGCAGACCCTTCAGAGGAAACATGTATTAAATATAGACATACGTGTATATATTTGTATATAGAAGGTTTTGTGGACTAGTGAAGAACCTCTCATTGTGTATGTTCTAAAGGCTTAAAAGAAAACAGAAAGTAACTCTATTTTGCCCCTTTGTAATACTTGCTGTAATTAAAATAGGAATCTAGTGATTTTTAAAAATGTGATCAGAGACTTCAGCAAGTAGCTTGTTTCCCTCCTCTAGAACCAAAGGATGAGGGAAAGCAAAGGAGAAAGTAAAAGGTTGAGGGTAGAGGGAATAAATCATAAAATGCCTATGGTTAGAACCATAAAAATTTCTGTAGGACCTTCTGCTGTTTGAAAGATGACTTTTTTGTCCCTAGTTGATATTTATTTTTAAATTCTGTATTGAAGTATATAGTAAGTTTACAATGTTGTGTCAATTTCTGGTGTACAGCATAATAGTTCAGTCATATATTCCTTTTCATATTCTTTTTCAGTACGGGTTACTACAAGATATTGAAAGATGACTTCTGACAACTCTTTCCGGCACTTTGGCTCCTCCTCCAGCCTCCTGATGGCTCTTCTCAGTCTCCTTATCTTGCTCTCACTCCCTAGGTGTGGCACAGCCTAAAGTTCCAGCATCTTCTTATCATTCAGAATCTTCCCTTCTGTATGCTGTCAGATGCAGGGAGGCGTCAGCCACCAAATATGAATCTCCAGCTTGTGAACACCAATTCCATATTTTCAGC